CCATAGTGGCTAGGTTTTGCAGGAACATAATTAAATTTGAGTGGCTGAGCGAATCCCAGAGGGCGATTATGGCAAGGAGAACACAGACACTGTGGTCATAGGGAAGGCAAAGGGAGAGCCTGGGCAGGGCAGGGATTGTCATAGGCTGAGTGGAGGAGTCGAGTCTGAGCTACATGGAGGACAGAGATAGGAAGAGGATAGTGGACTGGGTCAGGCAAAAGCATAGATTCTAAGTCCAGGCAGAGGGGTATGTGATGGGGTGAGAGGAGGCTTGGTGATGGCAAAGAGTGGGGCTAGGCTGGTCAAAGGGGAGAGAACTGGATTTGGCTCTTCAGGAAAAGAGATGAGGGCAGGACTGGGGTTGGAAATCCCTGGTTTTGTCACCACTGGGTGTGATGAGCATGATTCTCTCATCTTCTAGACTTCGTATCTGGGCCAAGCATGGCACTATCAGAGCTCAGACCCTGTAAAGCCTCACTGTTGTGCAATAGGAAGCCACATCATTATCCACTGTAGATCACCTTGCTGTGACTGCTTAGCTTTGCCACATTAGATTATCCTGGACCTCATGTCCCTTTCTTGTCCTAGAATGTCCTTCAGACACAGGCCTGCCTGCCTCAGTGTGCTTTATGTGTTTCACACCACCTGACAGGTCATGTTGTTTCCAGCCTACGGACCAACACAGATACCTCAAGGATGGCCCTCTGGGCCCGAATCCCAGGTTCAGGTTTCTCTGTGGGTAGCTTGAACAGTCCACAGTGAGGCTAGGACCTAAGTAGACCAGCTGCTGCCATCAGCAGCCTAGAAGAGTGAGTCATGCCAGGGCTCCGAGACAGTGGACATGGGAGTTGAGCAGTGGCTTAGCTGGTGACATGGCCCCCTTTAGCCCTACTCACTGACTAATAGACTGCTCCAAAGGAGGGTGACAGTGACATCAGGTCCCCCATCCACAATTCAGATGCCACTACCCTGTGAAACCCTAGCTCAAATCCCTGCATGTTCTCCAGGGACTGAATGGACAAGATCTCTGTCCCAGTCTCCAAGACCGGGGTGCCCAAAAATGTAGATGAAATCAAAGAAAACAGACGTTTCCATACGGGGCCCACTGACTTCCCTGTCCCCTCCTGTCTCAGTGTTCATGAAATCAAAGAAAGGTCCAGCTCAGAAGGGAGAGTCCAGTGGCTAAATAAGTCTATGATTCAAGTGTGAGGAGGATCCTAGGGACACTCTCCATCTCCATGGAACATCAAAGTGGGGTCTCTCCTGATATGCAGAACAGACCATCAGCTGTGGTCTCATATATATGTATGTGCTCATATAGTGTCTTTTGGGCATCATGACGTCTAGGACTGTGTCTATCTATATTGAGAGAATAATATCATTGGTTCTGGTTATCAGGTACAGCCTTGCATTCAGCAGGAATACTGACTAAGCTAGTTATACAGGTCTGAAAGGTAATTTTTTTTTTAGTATATTGCAGGCATTAATTGCTAAGCCTACTGTTCAGTAAAATATCCCTAACATTGTGCCTGAAGCTGGCTGGCCACAGATTCCACATGCCTCACTGGTCATCATCATCCAGGAAGCCCTCCTGCTTCTCCAGAACCCAGGGAGAGGCTGGGCTTATAGCACAGTGACTAGACTGCAATTAGGCTATTCCACAGCCAGGATATAAAAGGTCAGGCCTAATGGTAGGATCCCATCCCCTCTGTATAAAATAGTGCACAAGACTTCTTCTCACACTATGAGACAAAACAGTGAGGGACAACAAGCTTTGCTGCAGGGAACATCGCTGCATCTGCAGCCTCACTCACTGGGCATTCCTAGCGTGTCCCCTACCAACCCATCAATTTATTGTTCCCTCCTTAGGGAGCAAAATACAGTCAGTAATACTGGCAATGACTGATGGTCTTCTGATTGAGAAAAATTTTAAACAGACCATGGAAGAGGTAAGTCAGCACCAAAACTGCTGGCATTTTGCCTCTGGTATTTAAGTGCTTTCTTTTTTCAGCATCTTCTTTCTTTTAGGCCAAAATTTCCAGACAATTGGGGGCAACTGTTCTAACAGTGGGTGTCTACCACTAGATTAAGTGGCAGGTAAGTCAGATCAGGTGACCAAGTACCCCTGAATAGCTATTAGAGCAAGACTGTGAAGCATCTTTCAGTGCCAAGAAGTGGGGAATCTCATCTACCCAAGGTGCTGTAGGCTAGAATTAGCCAGTGTAAAAGGGCAGCTCACTAGGGTAATTAAACCAACCCTCTCTGAAGAGTGGACAGCAGAGCTTCCCACTGCCTAAGCCAGTGAGTATTTGACACCCTAGGTTCACCATGGCCTGAGAGTAACAGTTCCTGCACCAAGTCTGTTACATCCACTGACTCTGAAGTTCAACCCAGATACCTTCTCCTATCATAGATGGCCCCAGTTGCAGACAGCCCAGATCATACCTTTGAGGCCAAACAAGGCTTCCCTGCCCTGCAGGGCATTGTTGACAAAGTAAGTGGGTTGTAGAAGACTGGAGGGCCTTGTATGCATTCCCTGAGGCTTACTGTCCTGCCCATTTCCATTTCCATTTCCATTTCCATCTCCCTCTCTCAGATTTCTTCCAAGTCCCATATTCAGGTGTTTTCCGTGACGCCATCCTATGTCTGTACAAAAGGTAAGAGCTGAGGGGTCACAGACATGGGCAAATGGTGTTACTCAATAGAGTGAGTACATTTGTATGAGTATGTGTACGGTGTGATATTGTTTCTGAGTGTGGCTTGTATGGGATGTCCATTCTGTGTGTGGTGCTTCCATGATGCGTTTGGTACATGTAACATCTGTAGTGATAATATTAATCATAGAAACTAGAATTAATAGTAGACAAACCTGTTAGCATGACCATAAGGGAGTTTCTCAACTGAGTTAACTGAAGTGGGAAAAACCACTCTAGATACAGACAGCAATATTTATTGGTCTGAGATCCCAAGCTGATTAATAACAAGATGAAAGGAAGGGAGCTCTGGCATTCTCCTCTCTGTCATTTATGATTGTGGATGTAATATGACCCCAAGCATCATGCTCCTGCCACCATGCATCCTTCCCTTACATGAAGGACTGCATGCTTACTATGAACTAAAATCACCTTATTTAAGTTGATTTTTTTTTTCTGGCATTTTGTCACAACCTCAACGAGAAAAGTAACTAATACAGAAAACTGGCATCAGGAGTGATGCTGCAGCTAATCCCTGACGGTGTGGTTCTTAGGCCTTTGAAAATAGATGCAGGAAAATAGTCTGAAAGTTTGCAACATTGACACAGAAAAGCCCAGGAATGCTTGCGTGTGTTAAGTGTGCTTTGGATGGATGTGCGAGAGCAGTGTGTATGTGATATACATAATGTGATACGGGTTGTGGAGAGGCTGTGGTGCAAGTGGCTAAAACAGGCGTGTCAGGAGAAAGTGTGACAATGACTGTGCTATGTATGTTAGGGTGTTCTGTGTTGTTGTATTGTGGTATGGATGGGCATATAATGTGTAAGAGCCACATGATGTGTTTTTATCATATACACTACATGTCTGAGCTTTTATGTGACTTGTAGTGTATACTATATATTCATGTATTTATATTGTCGTTTACATAGGAATAGTATGTATAATAACTGTCTAATGTGTTTATAAGTGAGAGAGAAATAAATTGTGTGTTGTTTTAAGTAGAAAAGTAGTATGTCTACTTGTGTGTATATATATTGTATTAAAAAATTTGATGGGGTGTGTATGAGTGTGTGCTTGTGTGTGTGTATGCGTGTGTGTGTGTTTGTGTGATGTCCGATTGGGTGGTTATGTAGTATTTCTAAAGGACACATCGGGTTGTGTTTTATTGGTATACATGCCCTAACTAGGCACGCATATATAGCTCAGCCCCTGGACTGTTAAAATGTTGGCTTTTGTGTACAATCCTGCATATAGGAATAACTGTCACTTTCAGGGAAACCTAAGGTAGGTGCCAGCACCAGAAATGAAATAGACTTAGCTGTTTTCTTGAGGTCGCACTGAGACAACATGTGTGCTATGGGGTCTGGTGAGGGTCCTTGTAAATGAGGATCCTTGGTCTACTACGCTGAGGTGTCAAGATGACACAGAAGGGAGGATAGAGCTGGCTCTCAGCCCCGACCAAGTTAGCGATGCAGGCAAATGAGGAAAAGGTAGAATCCTGCCTATGGTCTCACCCACCCAGCCATCCTCACTCTGTCCTTTTCATTTTGTGTCAGTGTCAGGGAGGTGTTCGCAGATGTTAGAAAGACCCTGCTAAACCCCAGAGTGATGGGCAAGGTGAATGAGAATGAAGAAAGCTGCATTGACTCCAGAACTATATCTATGGGGGTCACCTCCTGTGTAGAACTCCCTTTAGTGGGTCAGGTACTAGAACTGTGTCTGAGACAGGGCATCTCCTGTGAGGGACTCTCTCGTGTGCATCAGGGACTTGACCTGTGTCTAAGGAGCCAAATCCTCTTAGGTATTTTCTTGGGTGGTTTAGGGACCAGACCTATCCCTTATGTCCTACCCCTTGGTCTTGGGGTCTTTATTAGCACACCAGAGAAACACAGAAAAGAATGGATAGACTTCATGCTCAGAATCACAGTCAACACGGTGGATGCTGATCCCTAACCCTGTGCAGATAGGGCCTTGCCCTGTGCTACAATGCCCATGTGGATTCGGGAGTGTGTGAGGTCTCCAAGCAGGAAGGTTTCAGCTGAGTTGGCATAGCTCAGAACAGGGATGGACTCTCATGACTTTGGACTTGTTGCATCACTGATTGCAGTAGGACTCCTAACTTCTCAGGATCCTTCCCAGGTATGTTAGCATGGATACTCAGTGACCATAGATGATGGTCCACATAATGTCGCTGTATGATAAGGGCCTGAGAATTCCATCTTCAAGGTAGCCCTTCATGAAAGGTGAGAGCAGAGAGAACATGGCACCCAAGTCCCCTGCTCCAACACTTTAATGTTTGCCTTGCAGATCCCTCTCAAGTGAATGTCAACGGATGAGGATTTAAAAATACAAATGACCTGAGCCAAGTTATTTGCAGGTTCACGTTCAGTGACTCCAGGGTTGTTGGTAAGTAGTGCATTGGTATCCCAGTACCCATGAGGTACACATTACCATTCACAATCATTCTTCAAAGTCAGCCATGCCTTCTGCTTTGCAGACCACGCACAATGGGGAAGCTATAGGTAGCATGGACCAATGGAAGGAGGACCAAGCACCATGCCTATTCCCATCTCTCTTCACACACACAGTGAAAGAATAAACCCCAGCTCCCAAAGGCATCTGGAGCCTGGCATGACACTGGCCCCTCCTCACTACAGCATCCATTTAGCCTTTTGTTGTTCCCCTTCATGGAAGTCTAATCCCACAAGATGGCCTCCCCAGATGCAACAGGCAGAGCCTCCTGACTGAGCATGAAAGATGTCCAGCAGGTCTTTCTGGAAAGTCATTCATTACAGCACACAGGGGAAACAAAGGACTGGGAAACTGGAAGCCTAGCCAGTGGGGATATAGCTCAGCTCTTAGCTTTTTGCCCCAGCTCAGGGGACTGGGAATAGAATGTGTGTTGATTAGCGGCTTCAGCCACAGTTTCACAATTCCTCTCAGACTCCCAAAGGAGGAAAAGAAAAATGTTTATTCCCTTATGAGACTTCTCCAGCTCAGCAAACAACACAACTCCCCACCCATTTCCTTGGTCTAAACCTGGTTGCCATTCTTGCTCCTCTTCTCCTATCCCTGTACCCAGGCCACCAGCGCTTCATGCTGCCTTTATCTGGAGACTCCATGGCCCCTGACACATCCATTGCACTAGAAGTACCACCCAAACTTCTTCCCATTTGCCTCTCACCTATCCCTGAGCCTCCAACCCTAAGGTCATTTCCTGGCTGCTCCCATCTCTCACATCAGCACTTCACACGAAATCAGTTTCAGTGCACATGGTCTACCAAACACAAATGTACCAAAAAGTTCATGGGCTTGAAGCACCCATAGCCACTGCCCAGGAGTTCACAATCCACACCGTGTAGCTCCCCGACAGTCTCGCCACTGTGTATCTTTAGCTAAATTCCAAGCATTTCATGTATAAACACTTATTCTTTAAATAAGAAATTATATCTCTAAAAGAAGGGACTCATCACCAGTAACTGAGCATCTGACCTCTCCCCAGGATGCCCCACCCCTCTACTTCCCATGTCACAGCACACTGCACTCTTTTATATTTTCCTGTGTGTCTTCCCTCTCTCCCTTCCTCTCCCTCTCTGTCTTTCTCGCTCTCTCCCTCAATCACCAACAAGTGATCCTTGGGTACAGGATATGCTTGCTAGGTAACAGAGTGCTGTTCAGGAGGGGGCAGAGTTGGAACTCCACAGTTTCCCTTGAACAAAAAGAAGCAGAGGGAGTAAGCAGGCATCAGCCAGTGTCAGCTCTCAGACAGAGGGTGACAGTGGAGGAAGGGCTCCCTATTGATAGTCTTATGCCAATTTCTTTTAGATGAAAGCCCTACAGATATAACTGATACCACCATAAATTGTCCCGGAACGAAGATACAGCATACTGGCGAGTAAGTGTCCCTTGCTAAAGTTCTTCTTTAGGAATTCCAAGATTTGTGTTTCCCAGCTTTAGCGAAACTGGGGTGTGTCCTCTGCTATAAGCACCTGTCTGCATTATATGGGTTCCATTTCCTTTCTATAAGACTCTGTTAGTGACCCTGGAGGTTCTTAGGAATACACAGTGCCCAGGCACTGATGAGGGCAGGATGGAGAAGATGATGGGTTCCAGGGTTCAAACCGGCGTTTGAATATCTCCCTGATTCCTTAGCTCCTGCTCATTGTGGTCATATGACATGAAGACCCCCTCTGGCCTAATCTGCAGCCTTCACATCCCTGCAGTGCTTGAGTCTTTATGCTTTGGGTAATAGAGTTCCTCTACCCACCTGTTCACTGTCAGGGAGGCCTGTGCTGAATTTCAGCATCATTACAATGAGGACTGATGTGTGTGACACTTTCAACAAACTGAGTCTCTGGGGTACTTCCTTAAGGGAGACCTTAAGTTAGCATGCTGGGACAAGTTAGGCAGGGATATTGACTTCCCTTGGGAACAAGGGACACTAAACTCCGGAGTCAGACTGTTTGGAAGTTAGTGCATTGCTGCATTGAGGACCAGAAATGCTGTAGAGAGGCGGTGGAAAAGGGGCAAGCTGAACTAGAAATGCTATGAGAAGAAAGATCAGAAGAGGTTAAGAGCACAGGGGAGTCTGATAAGGAGGAAACAGTCTGAGGTGGAATTGCAGGCCCTCTTAGAAAAAGGTCAGAAACAATCCCTTAGAGAACGGAGAGGGGAAGAAAAGGAGAAATGGTGATGTAAGGAGGAGGATGTAAATGTAAGCTAACTTCATACAACTTAAATTCAACTGTACTCTAAATTGTTATGTGTCTTTAAATGGTGGTAAACATTTAAGGTTATAAATGCCTATTTCAAGCTAACAAAATATTTATGCCACCCAGTCTTTCTTGTAAGCTGTTTATAAAGGTCAAGTCTCTATTATCAAAGGGAGTTTTTCTCTACCTCTTTGTCCTCTACAGGTATAAGTCTAACCTACTAAGTTAAAACCAGTTATAGTCAGGCTGCAGGGCTCTGAGTAAAACATCCTTCCACAGCCTCTCAGCTTGGATCCAGTTTTCCAAACAGTTTAATTAATTACAGGGATAAAGCCTTACCTAGCCACCTATGTGCTTAAGGCAAGTAACTAAAGACAAATTTTGTATACTAAGGTATGCTAAACAATCAGACAGCCATCAAATGCTCAGAGATCTAGAGAATATGGCATTTAAAATGTTTCATTAAAATGCTTTTATAACAGAGAGACAGGCCAGCTGCTGGCACCACCCATTTCCTTCAAGAAGACTGATGGACACTAAAGAAGCTCCACCCACAAAAGTGGCAACAATAGCCACTGAGAAATCCTGTTGTTCATCTCAACTGCTGCAAAAGGCTCTATGGACCCTGGACAAGAGGGCAGTGGAATCGACTTTCTCCATGTTGCTTGGGCCAAAGGTAGGTAAAGTCTTCCAAAAGCTCCTAATCCACAGTTCTCATGCCATCAGTAGAAGGCAGATGTCCTTAAAGCCTCTGACTTCAACAACTGTGGAGGACCTGGGGTGGCTGTCCATGCTGCCAGCTAGTAAGTCTGTGTTACTCTAATCATTCAGGAAAAATTTTATCCTTCTCAAGAACTCTGATGCTTTTGAAGACTGGTAGCTTTGTCAGCTTAAAGCAGCAGCAAAGAATCCAATTGTTTCAAAACAGATTTCAAAAAAATGGGTATTTTAAGGTTGCTCCTATTTATTGTCTTAACATGAATCAATAAAGTTTTAAGAAGCTACTAATCCAATTCTGAGAGTAATAAACACCATACTATGCCACTATATGATGGTAACTAACTATAAGCTTACAATTAAGGTGCGTTACATTGTGCTAAAAATCTGCCAGTTGTATGTGTTAATTCTTTCAGCCAAATCATTTCTAATATGAGTATGCTGCTAATGTGTCTTAATATTTATGTTTTCACAAACTAAAGGATTCTTTTAAGTTCCAGGGAGCAGAATTGGATCCATTTACAGGTCAGATTCACTCCAAATAAATATTACTCAACTTTTTCCTGGCCTCAGGACAGGACTTCCTTCCTTTGTCCCGGGACCCCCTTGGGAGCCCCTCCCCCACCTCACACTTCTCCCATTAAGTACTAAGACCTAAGAGAAAAAAACCTAACCTTGTCCTCTGTTCTGCTAACATCTTGCCAGGTCTCAAAGAGATGCCAGAGCCCCATACTGTCAGAACTGTGATGAAACAACCAGCTACCAGGACTTGGCAACACCCCAGCTTTCTCTGATCCCCCAAAGACAATCTATGCCCCCAAGTCTGCAGGAAGCAGTCTCCAGAACTCAAGGTCCTTATTCCCTAACCTGCCACGCCCAACACCCACCTTTTTAATAACAATAAGAGGTGGGAATGTTAGGAACTAGCAGCCAGCTGACCCCAGCCCTGACAATGGGCTGGATGCTCATGGCCTTGTCATCCCTAAGTCAGCTTTACCTGGCTGCTCAAGCTTTACCTGCCTGCCAGAGGACTCAGTTATGCATGCACAAGCCCCCTTTTAAAGCAAGTGCACCAAGCTCACCTCTCTCTCTGGTTCCTCTCTCTGGTTTCTCTCTTGCCCCAACTTGCTCTCTCTCTCTCTCTCTCTCTCTCTTTCCTGCTTTAGGTTGGCCACCAGCTACCCTCTCTTTCTCTTCCTTCTCTCAATAAACTCCACATGGCGCTGAGTCTTGTGTTTGTGTTTTTTAGGCATTAGCTGCACAGCATAAGAACAACACCCAAGGCAATAGATATGAGGAGCCTTTAGACTTCAAGGTCATCAAGACTTTGGCTGAGTCTGTGAGAACATATGGGATTTCAGCTTCTTTTACTGTAGCCCAAGTTGAAGCCCTGAATAGACACTGCATGACTCCTAGTTATAGCCCCTGAAAAGGTTCAAAAGGATAAGATTGTTCATTATTTAGGAGCCAAAGTGTATGAAAGACAAATTGTTCCTCAAAGGATTGAGTTGAGAAAGGATAATTTGAAAATGTTAAATGACTTTCAGAAGTTATTAGGAGATGTTAATTGGATTAGGAGTTATTTAAAGTTGCCAAATTATGAATTAAAGCCATTTTATAATATATTAGTAGGGGATCCGGCTCTTGAGTCTCCTAGGCAATTGACTATTGAAGCGAGAGAAGCCTTATGTAAAGTTGGGGCAAGACTACAAAATGCATTTCTATCTAGATGGAAGGAAGGTCAAGCTATCGCGTTATGCATTCTCCCTACCTATAATAAGCCTACAGGGTTGTTATGGCAGGAAGGACCATTGCTTTGGATTTATCCCAACATCTCCCCAGGGAAAGCAATAGAACTAGCAGTCGCTAGTTTGGCTCATAGTGGAATTCAACAAAGCATTCAATGTTTTGGAGTGCCCCGGCACTACTTGTGGTACCTTACCCCAGTCACCAGGTTAAGACCTTGTGTGGCACTATCAACAATTGGGCCATATTGCAATGTGGGTTTGAAGGAATGATAGATAATCATTATCCAAAGCATCCTTTAATATCATTCTTTAGGGAACATCCTGTGATTTTTCCAAAACTAACTTTCTCAGTCCCACTTAGTGGGGCACCAAATGTTGTTTTTACTGATGGTTCAAAAACTAGTTGTGGGGCATATATGATTGCAAATAAGCCTTCTGTGCTGTGTCAATTTCAGCCAGGATCCCCTCAAATTGTGGAATTGAAAATTGTAGTCGAGGTATTCAAATTTTGCCCATTTGCATTTAATTTGATCTCAGATTCAGCATATGTGGTGAATGCAGTAAAAATTTTGGAATTAGCAGGCCCTATGAAAATTAGTAGTGTTGTTTGTTCACTCTTACAAGAGTTACAAAGATTAATTTGGTTGAGAAAGGAATGCTTTTATATTCAACATATTAGAGCTCATACGGATTTGCCTGGGCCCTTAAGTGAAGGAAATGACATTGTTGATCAATGGACAAGGGTGGAATGTATTTTTTCCAGCTCATCTTTAGATAAGGCTAGGCAATTCCATCAGCAATTTCATGTGAATGCAAGGACTCTTCAACAGAAATTCCATTTGTCCAGAGCAGATGCTCGACAGGTGGTTTTGAACTGTCCACAGTGAATAATATACCAACACCCACTTGGTGTGCGGGTAAACCCTAGGGGGTTAATGCCCCTAAAGATATGGCACATGGGTATCACACATATTTCAGAACTTGGAGCTTTGAAATATGTACATGTGTCTGTGGATACTTGTTCAGGTGTGGTACATGCTACACCTTTAAGCAGAGAAAAAGCCCACAGTGTCATTGGACACTCCCTGGAAGCCTGGGTGGCTTGGGGAAAATCTCAACAGCTAAAAACTGATAATGGGCCAGCTTATAAGGCTCAGAGATTTACTTCCTTTTGCAAACAAATGGAAGTTCAGTTTGTCCATGGATTACCCTACAATCCTCAAGGACAAGGGATTGTAGAGCGAGCTCATCGCACCCTAAAAGAATGCTTAATAAAACAAAAAGGGGGAGTAGGCCAAGGCCCAACTCCCAAGGAAAGAATATCTTTAGCCCTTTTTACCCTCAATTTTTTAATTTTGGATGTTGATGGCCTTTCCGCCACTGATCGTCATCAGCGGCAAGGAGGGAGTCTAAAAGGCTATGTGAAATAGAAAGATGTGATCACCGGGTTATGGCATGGTCCTGATCCAGTGTTGGCATGGGTGTGAGGGTCTATTTGTGTTTTCCCCCAAGATCGCCAAGAACCATTGTGCCTCAACATGTGCAACATTGTGCAACAAACATGAAGAGCCTGCTGTTGCCATTGATCATCAACCTGATTTGGCCACCAGTGCAGATGGAGCCACGATGGGGGATCCTGTCAGTGTTCTCAAGACCCATGCCGATACGCTCTGATGCAAATCTGTTTCCTCGATTTTTTAGTCCTAAGCTTAGATTTGCCTTATGATAGTGAGATTGCTAGTATAAATGAAAATAGGAGTTTTGTTTTAACAGGAAGCCTATGCTTTTATGTGATATTAGTGATAAGAGTCAGTGCATTAAGTTATTTAATCAATCTGCAGCTTGGTTTGATGTGCCCACCATGGGAGGCCTCATTAGGGAGGTCAAGGCCTCCTGGGTAAATGGATGGTGACCTGCTAAGAGTGAGTTTGACAAGCCAGCACCCCATCAGCCTAAGTGGGCCCCTCACTGTTCCAGTAAACGAGGAGGTGGTTTCCTTCCCTGGACGGGATGTCAATCAGGAAAGGTTGTTTGGGCGAGCAAGGGATATTTTACCTTCTCACCAGGAATTAGTACCAGATTCAATAAAACCTTTGCTGGGAGAAACTTTACTGATCAGGAGCCGCAGCAGGTGGATATTTCCAACCCGTTTGATCTCTGGCTCTTGTGTGGCATTAATGGCAGCTGCACAGATTTGTCCCCTTTCCTTATGATAAGGGGCAGAGTTCATGGGGTGGCCGAATTTGCTTGGTCTACCTCTGAGCATTTTGGTGAATGGTTCAATCCTAATCCTCCTCAACCTACCGGATGGATTCCCGTGCCTGTTGATGCCCCGAGTGCTATGACGGTGTTCAGACGACAGAGAGATTTTGGCATTACAGCAGCCATAGTTGCAGTTATCTTTTTTGCAGTTGTGGGTTCAATCACGGCTGTGGTGGCCATGAGCACATCGGTACAGACAGCCTCTAAGTTAAATGAATTGTCCAAGAATGTGGCCATCCATCTGAAGCTCCTCTACCCATGAGGACCAGGTAAACCCCAAAAAGGGGAAAGACTGACAGCAACCCCAGGGCCCAATATGGAGACCCTACAGGAAAGGAAGAAAGAGCCCACAGGTCTCCCACCATGCCCTACCCTGTCTGTGGAGGGCCCATGGCTGCCTCTTGGGAGCTTCTAAGTCTTCTGCAATTGCCCAGCCCATCTGAGAGCCATTCCTGCCAGTTCCCTGCCTGTGAGCTACACAGAAACCAACACAGGTCTCCTAGGAGCAAAATGGACACTGCCAGTGGCCTGACCTCTGTGGCTCATCCCCACCCATTCCATAGGGCCCAAGCACTCTTTGGTGACGGGATGAGACGAGTAGGATCTCCCCAATTAGGTCCAGGTATCTTTGACCCCCCCCACCTTCCTTTACACTGCCCGGGCCCATGGCAACTGACCATGATTGAGATGTGGAGTTCTTGCCTGCATGACTTATGTGACCCAAGCTCTGTCTTTTACCCAGAGCCTTCACAAAACTGGTAACTCCCCAGGAGGCCTCTGCTTGCCATCACACACCCCTCAAGCATCTGAACTTCTCCAAAAGCCTTGTGTCCCAGATTGTTGTATATTCTGTGTGTCCCACAGTGTCCACTCCAGAACCCAAGTCTTTAGACTGCTCCCTCTTAGGAATGGAATGGATGTGTTTGGACTTTTGTGTCCATGTTGACCGAGTTGTAGGCAATTTGGGCCCCAAGTTCTTTAGTGTGGGGGGGTACCTCTCATGCATTCCTGCTTGTTCATGGTCATGTGTGCTTTTCAGGGAAACCTAGATACATGCTGCAGCTACTTTTACCCAAACTGCCACCAGATGCCATGATGTGCTGTCATTCCAAGGTCCAGGTGAGACAGACAGGGAAACTCGGAGACTGAGAATGACTGCTGCCTTTATGTTTCAAACTATCAGTGTTCTGATTTCACAGTTTCATGGGAGCCCTGCACTGAAGTGTTCCCTTTAGCTGAGACTGCTCCCTGCAGGGTTTACTGTGTCTAGTGGGGACTGAAGTCCCCTGCAGGGTACAAAGGTAAGTATCAGGTAGTACCTGTAGCTCCCCTCAAGGCACAAAGTAAGATGTCCACTGCTACACTCTCTGCTGGACAGAAAAAGGTGTCAGCAGGGATCTGTGCAGGGCAGGGATTCAGCAGGATTCCAGCTGGAACCTAAAGCCTCCTGCAGGACAGTCTGAAGCAATAGGCCTGTATATGTAAAACTAAACACTAGCCCAGCTCAGTTGACAAGTTCAGCAGGTTTCTGCATGGAGGCACTCTGGAATTCTCTACCAGGCTGGTCTCCTGTCTGAGCAAGGAAGAAAGGAGGAACTGTCTTTTTTTTTTTGGTTTGTTTGTTTTTGTTATTTTACATGTTGATCTCATTACCTTCTCTCAAGCTCCCTCCCTCTTACCCTCTTACCCTCTCAGCCTGCTCACATGCAAGCTGACCACCCTACCTTCCCATCCCTCCATCCCAATTCCACCTGTAGGGCAATGCCATCCAGGCGGGGTCATGTAAATCTGCCAAGTCATTTGAAGTAGGGACTAGGACTTTTCTCCTGCCTCTAGGTTAAGGCAGCATTCCTCCATGGGGGATGTGTTTGCAAGGTCTTTCGTGAATCAGGAATACATCCTGGTTCCACCATCTATGGTTCCTTAGACTGCTCAGTCCTTCTGGCTGAGACCCATATTCAGGGGGGCCTTTGTCAGTCCCATGCTGGATTCCCAGCTATCAGTCTGGGGGGCCGTTAGCTCCTCCTTGTTCAAGTCAGCTGTCTGTATGTGTTTCTGCAACCTGGTCTTGTCCTCTCCCTCTGCAATTGGATTTTGGTTCGACTCAGTGTTTAGGTATGGGTGTTTGCTTCTGTTACCAAGAGGAGGAACTGAGTGGGCTCCCTCCCAATACCCTCCTGGAGGGGAGGCAGCAATTGGAGGCACTGCTCTGCTCTT